CAGTGCAGCTTGCGTGGAGTTTGTCGTGTTCGGAGTTGCGAAAGCACAAGTGCACTGTCCTTAGTGGTATGCAGGGGTAAGTACTCAACTGTCTTCGCAAGGCAAAGACCGTTGATGAGCCCCACGTATTCAACGAAATTGTCAGTGGAATCGGCAGAGCCATAGGTTATGCTCGATACCCACAAAACGAATCCGGCGTGCGTCGGAGCGCGAAATCGGACAATATTAAATCCAGCTCCGCTATGACCTAGATTTCCGACGGATCCGCCATCGGGAAAGAGGAGGTATTGCACTCCTGGGCACCGTTGAATAAATCGTACTTGCAACATAGGATGTTGTCGACGCTGATGAGGTTGTCAGACAATGCCGACCGTACCTGCACAAGCATTTGCCCGTCCTAACTCATGTCGGGCTGGTAGGTTGATTCACGAAAGCTTCGAACCAATCGGCGAAAGATAGTCGTGGCACTAGCTGTGTGTACCTCCTGTAATAAACACGAGTCTTCCATGCGGCACAGGCGCTTATCCCAGATGGCGTGAAGTTTCGTTGATGCGACAAAACGCCACAGCTTTCGAGCTGCCGGGAAGATCGCAGTCTGAGCTTTTGATAAATCGGCGCCTGTGTCCAAAAATGGTTTGATAGCATCTCAGGCGTTAGGTGGAATCCCTCGTATGTTTACTCTAAACACCCAGACATGCAAGTCAGCCTTCTTGCAAGAATCAAGCCATCTCCACCGTGCAAGTTGAGACTCCCCGTATCAATGCGATCGAGGGGGTATTCAAAATATATGATATGCCAGAAGTGGACCAGTATCCGCAAACTCAGGGACAAGGCAAGACAGATCTTGTTTCACCCAATTTCATAGCGGGAAACTATCACTTTTTCAGACGATACGGAGTCTGAGCGTTGGTCGGAAATGACGAAAAAAATTCGTCGAATATCTCTCCACGTGATCAATGGTGAACCTTCTGCTATCACGTAAAATTCCGTCTGTGCAAATCTTTCATCTAGAAGTCGAGTTTCTGCAATACAGCGCCAACGGGATATAATCTATTTAAGTTTCCTTCGTCGTGGCTGCTACCGTCGACGTCCGTCCCACAGGTGGACAACGCGCGTGGGCAACAGATGCGCGCCAAAGTAGACAGAAGTCTTACTGGCTGAAGACGCGTCTATATCGCACGTCACCATCGTCGAGACTGGTTGCATCCCACATTCCATGCCTGCATCGAACTGCAGGAGAGATGCACCTTCGGTATTGATAATACATCCATGGAATTGGTGGACCTTCGATGAGTACGCAATTAAGGAGCCAGTTTCCAGTGCCCGATATACCAAGAACAGGAAATTGTAGAGAAGGGCGAATCAGAAGGGTCCGAAATACCGTCGCTTCGCCATAGACTGGGTCGCCATATCATGCGTGGGAGAGAACAAGACAATGCCAGTCTGCAAAGTCGTCCAATTCATTGTTTGGCCAAGGTAATAAACCCATTGCAAATTCGGCTCCGTGCAAGGTATATGCCGTGCCCCGTCGATCTCGCGGCCATGACATATCCTTACGCGTGGCGTGGACAAGCCATCGCTGATCAAATCGCCCTGATACCACTACTCCAGCTCGCATCCCGGCGCGCTGTAGGTCATAAAGTACCCGCGGAGCATCAAGTGTGACGCTACCGTTGTCATTATGGGTGACTGCGGCTTTCGATGTAAATGATAAGGCGCGTCGACAGACGTCTCTGGCCGCACATTGGCGAGCGTGTCGAGCCGCAGAAAATTCCAACAATTTCGGACCCGTCCAGCCAGAGAGTCGCTCGATATCGAGGATACTTGTCTTCCGTTCAACAAGGCGTGAATAAAGCCAGATCCAACCCGCTAGATCCCCATCATGAATCACCGATTAGGGAAGTCTCTCGAAAATATACTAGCTTCCTATTGTCCAACTGTTGTAGCCGCCATCGTAATTAATTCCGTCCGAATACAAGGCAACGCTAGTCCCCCCTGATGGAATGGTAAAGTAGCTATCTCGGATTGGGCCCAGAGAGGGGGTTGCTTTCCATCACGGATGCACCATACAAAGTCAATGATTCAGACGTGCAGCTGCGTAACTGCTACGGGAAGGAGTCCATCAGTGCTGTGCTTAAAACGTTATTTTGGGAACACCGATGGCATTGACGAGCTGAGCACGTTGTTCCATCGTGTGAGTCTTCTCTCGTGCTAAGACAAGTCGGCTCCAGACAGGCCGTATGCACTTATTTTAGTTATCGACCACCGCATTCTGTTGTCCCACCCGAGCACCAAGATACCTGCAAGCGTCGCCGGGGGCCTGTATAGTGAGGCCACAGGTGCTTACAGGTTGCGGTGATCCACAAGGGTCCAGCTCGGTAACCGTTGATTTCGCCTGATTCTTCCGGAGACCGGACACGTGAGCGATCTCATCAAGAATAGTGATAATTGGCATAATTGCATATTGATCGCGAAGGTAGACAACAGTACCATCGGCATATCTCAAAACTTTGAACTCAGTTTTCCGCCCGTCAAGACATCAGCTATTTTGGTGTTGTGGCTATCCGGCGGATATCGCCAATGTCAAATCATCGGTATCGGTAGATTTCCAGTCATTCTGCAGAGTCTTAGTAGTCTCAGCAGCATGTTACACGAAGGCTTTATCTTCAATCTCCTCCCATAATTTACACTACAAATGTTTATAGCGAATGGAGGAGATCTCGCTTTAGAAGAAAGTCACAAGACCTAGTGACACAAGCTTTGTTGTTCAAAGACCTTTGATTCGACTGTAAGCATCTTTTATAATGAAAGCCAACACGGCGATACAGATATTGATTGAGTATCATGTGGAAACGCACAAAGCTGTACTTCATAGATTATATAAGGAATGATGCTAATCCAAATAACACTATGCGTCCTCAATATTCGTAGATTGCTTACTTTCTGTATACAAGGCAGATCTTGACGAAACACGCGCGATCGACTCGAGCAAGCTTCGTGTTCAGAAACTAACATCCTTTACTTCGGCATGTTGTATAGCTGATTAAGTTTAAATGAAAGACCTGTTACACGAAAGTTACGACCCCATCTGATTAGCTAACAAGTGACAATTTGTCGGACGGGACTAGGGGGTACGGTCGTCATAAAGGGTTATCAAGATATCGTGACATGGGGGACGAGGAGATACGGACGCTACTGGAACCAGCATATGATGACGAGTGAACGCGATGTACTCTATATGCAACTTGACCTGGCTACGTTGTAGTGCGGGCGAAATGCATATTCGTGCTGACAGACGAATTTATACTGCATAAATGTCACTTTTCATTCTACATCCTTTTGCAGGAACCCAAAAAAATATATCTTTTTTACGAGCTAAACTTGCCGACTTATGCGCTTATTGACATTACGGGTCGATGATAGGTGATAATTGCATGGATGCCAGAGTTAGTTGTGACATATCCATTCATAGAAGTACATCAATGAGAGATTTCATCTTTTTAGCAACGTGTATGAATAGATACCTGCCATTGCACAGACATAAGAAAAGCGGTGTTTACGAGCTCGTATAGCATCAATCATTTCGAGGGGCTGTGTCATGCGAACAATGAGGTGTCTTGATCTTTTCCCCTCTTGAAGTAGAAAATCATTTTTCCAGACGGAAACAACTGGACAATGCGCTCGGACTGCGCCCGTGCATATATACAAGCCTTCAGTGCCGTTGTGATGCAAGCGTTGGCGTTCTATAGGTTCGACAAACCCCAGTTTTGTCAAGATACCTCTTCATAGTTGCGCTAACACGCACACTGGAAGAAAATAATTGAGTTCATCTATATTAGAGAATGCAAGTAACGGGGCACGTTCTTGCTCAGATAACTGAGCAAGGCCTTGTATTGATAACAATACAAGGATGAGTACACCCGACGTCACGTACACGTGGCGTGAAAAAGCGCGACCAAGACAATACAGAACCCGAAATCTCTGTCTTGAGGGAACAGTAGAACTGTTATTTAATCCAGTTATTTTCTTACTAAATCATCGTTCGTCTTAATCCAACTATATTAAACTACTGTCTCTTACGTGGGTCTTCTGTCCACCACCCATTGCGCGCGTCCGGCAGCGATTGGTGGTTAAATTGGTTGATGTACACGGTACATCAATCAAGAAGTGGACCCCTCCACGGATATTACCGTGAGAGGTAATATTCCGACAAAATCGCTTTTCTCGAGTGATGTTGATTGAATATTATCAAAGTATATAATATTCAAAATTGGTACTTTTGTACCAATTTTTACGTAACAGGCTCACCCCGTTAGAATGTACGTCATATAAGTGCCGAGGTAGCTACAATAAATATAATGTGAGGTGAGCTCGCGCTTTCCGATTGAGATCTTACCTGAGCGGCATTGCTTCCACGGGAAGAGCAAAGACAAGTTGGTCGTTGAGGTGGCAAAGAGTAGTGCTGATCGTTGGTTTCCCGCTACCTTTGCCTTGCATCGTGAGATTGTTTCTGGTGGCTCTTGACGCTATCGGTCTATCCACCCATATAATGCTTGATACATTCCGTGCTTGGGACACGTGCAGCTCGTGATGTATCAAAAAATGGGTCTGACGCATTGCTCATGACCGTGCGAGCTGAAGCCAGCTGTAGAAAGAAAGTTTGGATATCAATGCATTCTATCCATGCTGCGAATGGCGAGCCACACGTCAGGTCTTTTACCATCACAAGTTGCAACTAGCCGGTCAATGCACGTTGGTTGGCATACGTGTGGTACTACCCATTTAGCGTTACGTCGCTCCAGAACCTGTATTTTACATTCGCACGATATCCAGTTGCTCTATTTTCGGCGCAAAAGCCAGGCCGATCCCTAACGGGACTGGACAGAAGAGCTTCAATACTTTCTTAGCAACGGCGTATCGCACGTCGCCGGTGGTCGCTCGTAGGTCTCCGTCCGAGCAACGGACATACGCACATATCTACATATACAACAACGAGCTGCATGGCACCTGCGAAGCGACTGGATTTGAGCAGCCCCTACCGTGGCAACGAGAGCTCATCGGCTTCTTCATCGAGTGACGAACACGGGCAGCAGTCAACGACGCAGGTGCCCGAGGAGGAGGAGGAAGCTTCGAGCTCTGACGATGATTCAGAAAAGTGAGTGAGAGGGACTAAAAACGGAGCGTTACTGCGGAAGTGCAAAGGCCGTGCTGACGGTGCTGCCAAACTTTGTTTGCAGGGACTTCGAGATTCCACCGGGTTTCGAGAGTGTCAAGGGCAGCGGAGCTATGACACGTGAGGCGGTGATCAATACAGACCAAGAGCTCTGGTTTTTCAAGCTACCCAAGAGCGTACGTAGTGGGTTTTTTGCTAACATGCAGACTGAAACACTTGAGGTAACGATAATTGCTTTCTGCTCTGCTGGTGAAGTTGGATGCGTCGGCACTCGCCAATGTAACAATCAAAGTCGAGGAGGAACATGCGATCGTGACACCTGGAAAGCTGCTGGCTGAAGTCACGGCCAGTCAAGACAACAAGAAGTACTTGCTACAGAGCGAGGACCGCATGCTTACGGACCAGCTCGTGAATGCACTGCCACTCGCCTCGGATCGTGCTCGCTTTGTGCTGGGCAAACCATTCTCGCGTTGTTTTTCGCTGGTGGAAGACCGGTTTGATGCGCCGTCAACGGGATCAGAGAAGAGGACGATGGCGGTAGTTGACCCCATATCGCCTGTCGTAGAGAAGCGCCACAAAAAACACTTGTCAGACAAGAGCGAGAAGCATAGGTCGAAGAAAGCGAAGCACAAGAAGTAATTCCTACCGAAAATGACAGTAATGCAGAACGCAACCCCAGACCTCTTCGGCGGGCACAGTTCTTAGCAGCTCAATTGCGATCTCCCAACGATAATATCTACAACCAAAAAAGGTTGTCGTCTAAAACAGCAGAAGCATTTCTTCTACTACCGGTGCTTCCTGGCGCTCAGAACTGTCGTGCCGGTCCCTTCTCTTCTTGCTCTTCTCGCGGTCGCCACTTTTCTGTCCAGAGCCACTTTTCTTGCGGCTGCTGCTCTTCTTACTACGGTGGTGGTGGCGGCACTCCTCCACTACGCCTGACTCCTGCTTCTCCTCGCTGAAGTCTCGTACCAGCGTCTCGTCCTCTTTCCGTGGCGACTTCTTGGATTTCGAGCGCTTGGATAGTGACTCCTTTTTCGTCGTACTCTTGTCTTCCCCACGTACAGACACTTTGTGCTTCGTACTTTTCTTTCCAGATTTCTTTTTGGTGTCCACATGTTTAGACGACGGTGTCTGACGATGATACCACTGCTTGGTAGGAATCTTCTCGTCATCACCAAGTGGGGTGCTCAAATCAATCGCAGCTAGATCCGTCTCCTGCAGAGCGTAAAAAATTGGTGAAGATTAGGGATATGTACAGCCAAAATTGAGAACGCTTCGCATCGGTACGCGACACGCACTTCATCCTTCAAAGCATCACGCTTCTTTCGTGCACGCCAGCGGTCTTCATCGCTAGAACGAGCGCCGTCGGGCATCAGATCGTCCTCAAAGATATCGCGGGACTTTGACTTCTAAAATAGCACAAAACGACGTCAACGTGTAAGCGACTCATCGCGAGACTCGTGATGAAAAGTCAATGTCAAACCCTGGATGCCTTCTTCTTTCTTCCGCTCGTGCCGGAGCTCAAAGCACACATCATATCTGCAAGACCCTAAATTCGATCAAAACAGCATGGTGTGTGAGCGAGAGATGATTTAGATACAGCAACGTTTTACTCATCGTTCTTACCACGTCCACTTCACCATTCAAAGAAGCCTGCGAGCCGGCGGAGAGGTAGAAAGGATCCTTGCGTTGTCGCTCTTGCTCGCGCGCGCCTTTACGTTCCTTCTTTTCTTTCTCATCAGGGGAAACGTCCGACTCTGATTCCGATGCTGACTCGGAAGAAGACGAAGAATTATGATGACGACGATGACGGTTGTGTTTGTGTTTGCGTCGAGACTTTGGCTTGGACGATGCGTCGTCAATGCCACTGTAGCCCCCGCCTACACCAGCGTGACCCTGGCTAACGAATGAGACCTCGAGGTCATCTTCATTCAGAAATACCGACACATCACCACCCGTTTCAAGAAATTTGGCCTCCGAAGTACTCAAAGGCACGTCGAGGTCCAAGTCATCTGGTATCGGCACTTTTCGCTGCGCCTTGATGCCAACAGGAGCCAACTGCTCAGCGAAATATGACTTCAGCACATCCAGGCTCTTGCATGAATCGACCGATGCACTGCCATCAAACGCGCGTTCGGTACGTTCTTGTGCAGTTAGTGCACCTAGTCCCATACCTAGTGCAAGCAGAAGCTGCTGCAAACACACCGCGCGCTCTTGCACCTCAATATGCTCGCTTCTTACGAAAGCTGGCAAGTGCCCCGCAATAACTGTTGCAACACGCTCCACTGTGGCATCATTCGCACGTTCGGCCATGGCACTTAGGATTTTCAATAGTGCCTGGAGAAAGACAGTCTGAACGTAGGCAGGTAGCATTGCCATTCGAGGTTGCAGCATCTCATCTACAAGGTCTTCCAATCGCTGAAGTTTCTCTTCCTCACTCTCTTCGTCCTCATCTTCTTCTTCATCGTCATCGTCGCCCACGTCTTCCAAAAACTCCACAATGTACTCACCCGTAATCCAGGCCGCTGCATAATACACTTCTTGAATCGTGCCCACTCCTGGGCCACTGAGCGCCTCTTTTTCCATTAGCAGCTGAACCATATTGTCCACCATGATGCTGCGCACACTCTTCACACGAACCGCAATGTCTACAAGCTGGCGCGCTACCTCTACACCGTGCGAGCACTTTTTCCTTTCGTCATGTGTCCCATTCACCTTCGTACAACTACTAATAGAGCCAAGCATGCTACCAGACGACGGAGCCAACGACGATGACAGCGACGCATCAACAATAGCAGCGTTGTTCCCTGGTACGCGGGCAAGCTGCACTAGCACGTGAATATACCAGTCGAAGTCATGGATGTTGGCATACTTGCCAACGGAGCAAACGTGCAAGATGTGAGTAATGAGCTCGTGGCGATAAGCACCGTCTGCGCTCAATGTCTGGCGCATAAGCTCACGGATAATCGGTGCTGCATTGTCCGGATTCACCATGGCAGACAACAACTCCAGCGCGCGCATACGGATCGTCATATCGTCCACAGCAAGGCATTCAACAATGAGTTCCTGGTGTTCCGTGACGACATATGGATGGGACTTCATCAAGTTTCCCAGGCCAACGAGACCCAAGTAGCGCAGGTTTTGATCCGAGTCTTCAATGTAACGGCGCAAGTGGTCATTGCAGAGCCGAACAACTGCTGCCACGTTGCGCGGCTGCGATCCGTCACTTCTTTTCGTGTACATGAGCGCCGTCGTAACTGTACTGATGCACTCGTAGAGCAACGACTTTGCCGGCGTGTTCTGAATGACTGTTGCAAGTGGATCCAGGAGTTTGCGCGCGAGCCGCGGCTCTTCGGGCACCAAACTAGCCAGCAACTTGACGACTTTAATCAGCATCCAGTTGTTCGACGACGTCGTGAGCAGTCGAAAAAACTGGGGCGCGAGTCCCAAGTAGTTCTTGGGCTTCTTGTTCGCGAGCTCGCAAATGACATTGACGGCACACGAAACAACGGTAACATCCGGTTCTTCCATCCGCTCCTTGAGTCGATCAAACGAAAGCCGCAGCCCTTGTGGGTAGCGCAAGAACATCTTGTACAGCACGAGGGTCGCTTTCTTCCGCACGTACGGCTTCGAAGAGCCCATCATGGCCAAGACATCCCCCAACAAGTCCCTCGCCAAGTCCGTGGTGACAATATTCGCCAGCACGTTGATCGCCAGGCCCACGTCGTACTCGTTCAGACTGCCAAACTCCTTCTTCAGTAAGTTTGTGCACAACAGCACTACGTCCGTCGACTGCGTGAAGCTCTGGCACGCGGCATTGTAGCCAATGCGTTTGTGGGCGAACCTCTCATAACTCATAACCTCCACAACGTGAAACGCCGCCCAGCACATGTCGTAGCCCAACATGTGGAGGTACGTGAGCTTGCGCACGGCCTGCGCCTTGACGAACGGGTCCGTGCTGCGCAGCTCCGCCTTGATCTCCTGCATCGCCTGCGAGACGTAGTTGGTCACATCGCCTTTGGTCGAGCGAATGCCCTTGACCAGGTCCTGCAAGTTCTTCTCAAACATAGCCGCCAAGTCGTTCGACGCCAGACGCGAATGGAAAGTCCGACCCACGCAATGGCAGCCGCCCCCAAAACACCCACCGACCCACGAGCTGAGGGGGACATTCGAAATCGGACACGAAAGCTCGAACCCGGGTGGGTCGACGCAAGGGACTTGTTGTTTGTATGCGAAGTGGGCTGCGAGCTGAAATCTTTCAGCGGATCGATCGATGGTCACACGCAAGACCCATACTAGTGGTGATCGTGGTGGCAGTGGTAGTAGTAGTAGTAGTAGTAGTAGTAGCAGTAGTAGTAGTGGTAGTGGTAGTGGTGGTGGTGGTGGTGGTGGTAAATGTACTGCAATCACTCTTTCGATAGCCATGTCGACGAGCGTGAGTGCTACGTGATATACGGACATGGAAGGGATAGGAAGTGCACAATGGTGAAGCACAACTCGATCGACAGTCGATTCTTGAATCAATAAACACGACGAGACTGCAGCTAGTGGAACGGAGGCATTTACTATTTGGATTCCATGCGTAGTGGTAATTGCGCTCACTCAGCCCATGATCAACTCGAGTAGAATCATGACCGTGTTGATGGCCATCAGTGGAACTGCGTCAAGCAAGAGCACGAAGACAGGGGCAGGTCAGTAAACAACACGTCGCATGCACCGCACACTGCCCGACACTTGAAGATACTACAAAGGGACAGAGCGTTTTTCATACTGCCCATTGAGTCCACAGCAGACCGACCACGTACATCGCAAATACTGCACAGCGACAAGGAAGCCCACGATTTGGTTCTTGATCGTCATGCCTTGCGACGAGTCGACCTTGTGCCACCCATCTGCAAGCAGACAATGCGTTACCTCACACTACACCCGTCCGATGCGACGACCAATCCATGAACGTACGAGGACGCAGAAACCGCTTTTCATGCAGAATGCACACGGCATTTGTGAGCAAAAGACTCGTGAGCACAAAGTTCCAGAGCACGCCCATGGCTGACGTAGGTACGCTGGTCCGAAAGACGAATAATAATAATAATGGATTGACCGTTGACTGAAAAGACACGACCGACGTTAGTGAAAACTACCGGATTGGTCAAAATACTGCTCGCTCAACATTTTTCAGAGAGCGACATCTGCGCTGACTGCAAGTCACGCGGTGGTGATGGCTCGTCCCCATGTGTCGAAACGTCCAAGTCGACAAGAGAAGACAGCTGCATCTGAGCAGGAGCAAACATGTGAGAGTAACGAGGCAGATAGGAGTGAAAAGAAAGCTGGAACGATGCGGTCTCTCCTCGTGCGTTGTGGCGTAGGTATCGTCGTTGTGCTTCTAGGGGTGCTGCTGAGACCGACGCAGCCGCAAGATTTAGCCCCGACGGTCGTTCGTGACGCAAACTCTGGAGAGCAAACGAGAGCGAAATCTCTTTCCACGGTCGAGTTCCTGGCCAAGTACCCGCACGATGCCCTGGCGTTCACTCAAGGTTTTACGGTTGTCAATCGAGACGCTGAGAAGCTCTTTATCGAGTCGACGGGACTCTATGGCGAGTCGAGTTTGCGTCATGTTGACATTGAGAGCGGGAGAGTGCTGAAGCAGTATGATTTGCCGAACGAGCTCTTTGGAGAGGGCGTGACGATCGGTCCAAATGATGAGTTGATTTTGCTCACGTGGAAGAGCAAGTCTGGTTTTGTGTTTGACCTGGACGAGATTGTAGATACAAAGAGGGGCAGTGCTGCGTTGAAGAGCGAGTTCTCTTTCGATACTACTACTGGCGAGGGCTGGGGCATCACTTTTGACGGCAAAGATCTCGTTGTCTCGGACGGGTCGTCCATCGTGATGTTCTGGAACCCGTCAACGAAGGAAGAAGTACGGCGCATTGAGGTCACGATCGACAATGGCAAACAGAAGGTTTCTCGTGTCAATGAGCTGGAGGCCGCTAAGGGGTTTATATACGCAAATGTCTGGTACCAGCCGTACATCCTAAAGATCGACCCAGATACCGGCGCGGTCGTCACCATGTTCGACTTGTCGGAACTCGTTCAAGACGCCGGAGCCGACGTGGCATTCGGAGAGGTTCTCAACGGCATAGCCTACGACGACGCAGAAGACGTTTTCTACATCACGGGCAAGCTCTGGAACTCCGTGTACAAGGTCCGTCTTGTCGACCCGGTGCAGTAAAAGGTTGCCAAAGCACCAGTACGCTGTGCTACGGAGCTCTCTAGCGCTATTGCATAGACGACGGCGGTACCTCATGCCCAACAAACTCTCTTGTGTGTGCAAGGTGTACAAACGTTTTGCTTTGAATATCATTACTCGCCGCGCATTGTTGCTCCCTACTACGTCTGTTTCGGTGCTCTGTTAGCCTTCTTGCTGCAGGAAGGGGTTGGGGATCTCCGTCGTGCCTTCCATTGGAGACACGAGCATCACTGACGTGCCTCTGCACACCACAAGTCCGACTTGGCGGGTCTCGTCCGTGATCCGGTACTCGTCGCTCGGGTCGCGCACGAACTCGATGCAGTCGTCGAGCACGAGGTTCACGAGCTGGTCATAGCCTTTGAGCGTACCCGTGACTTCGCGGCCGCCGTGGAACTTGACGCGCACCTCCTGGTCGATGTACTTGGCCAAGTCCAGGATCGGATCCTTCCGATTACCGCCGCCGTTTGCTGCCGCCATGATGATGAATAGAAGGATCAAGTGCGTGAGTGATTGGCTGAAACTTTTATGCGTCTCAGACCGCATCAGTCGATGGCAATCTACTTTTCGGATCATGGGCAAAAGCTTTGCAGTGGACGAGCGCGTGGTGGAAGCTGTTGGCCAGACCAGAGCACTCTCAGTTGCGAGTAGGTCTTATTGCGATTGGGAATATGTGGTGCTGGTGATGATGCGTATTGCGTGGACTATGGGAAGCAGACCTTGAGACCGCGGGCAGACTAGCGGTTCAGCTACTCACCTCGGACAACCCGAGCAAGCAAATACGAAAGCGCACAGCATGTAGGTACGAGCGGTACTGTGCCGTACGTGCCGTCGTTGACACCACCTTGTACGATACGACGTGTGACAATTGAGACACTGTTGGAATGCGGTGAGTTGATTCTGCAGCGAGGACTGGATGGGAGTGCGAGCAGATGGAGCACGCAGTCATCGCGCTCGCCAAGATATTCATGGACGGTGCAAAGGTCCGTGGTCTGTGTCGGTCTCTGCTGCATAGATGCAAGCCTATTGGTGGCCGACACGTGTGGTTGTTGGTATGCACAGGCCAAATTGTCTGGGCACGCCTTCCGATCGGTTGTAGCAGGGATGTCGCTACCGGAGCAGCATGTCGATGTGTTGGTGCAAGTATGTGCTTGTTCTATCATGACCAACTAACTGTAACGTCGGCATCTTGGCCTGACCAGTTTATTCCGTTTCCAGCTATTTGATGCACACAGGATCGACATTCGACAGTGCGTCTCGAAGGATACGGGCACATGCGTTCCACAATATCGGAACTTGGAGTGGCGCATCGATCTGGAGGTAAAGCTCTGTGCGATGCGTTCGATATCAACGTCGCGACACTGACCCTTTACGTTGCAATGTAATTCAATAGCTTGGTACACGCTTCTGCCGCAACAGTCCGAAGCCCATTGTGACTTTTCGGCTCGACACTGCCAGTCAAAAACAAAGCGCTACCCTACCGCAGATTCAAACTACGTGTCTTCGCGTCGACTACGACGGTCTCAAACTGATGCAGCGTCAGCTAGAAGCTGCATTGAATGAGATTGACTCTGTTCACTGCAGTCGCATTCAGCGGTACATGCAATGAGTGACCAACAATGAGGAACGGTCGGCCGTCCGTTAACATTACTTTGCTCTTGCTCGGTCGGCCAGATGCTGCTCTTTTGTCTTGGCGAACGCCGTGATCTGGTCCAGCTGCTGCTGGGACTCGTCGGACTTGTCGCGCGTTTGTAGCAGCAACTCGGCAAACTTGGCCTGTTTCTTCTTTCGAGCCTCCAGGTCGGGTTTCATCGTCGCTTCCTGCTCGTCCGAAACAACAGAGCACCGCGCGGTTAGGCATTAACGCAAACCACGAGCTCTGTTCGTTGCAAGCTCGGTCAATACCACGGACCACTTCCAAACGGATCTCGTCAGTTGACTTTGGGTCCCAGTAGATATAGCCCAGCGCGCTCGCGACCCCAAACCGCAGTGTGTAGTCGAGCATCATCTTTGGCACCTTCATGACCGACCACGACGACCAAATGTTTTGTGTGCGAACTTTAGACGAACCTACTGCCGCGCACAAACTTGGACACACACGAGCGTCATGCACCAGCGCTACTGTATGGTTCGACGAGCTGTGCAGGCGCCCAGAAGAAGCTCTGCTCGACGCTGGAGCGATTCGGCGGCGCCCGCAGTATTACCAGAGGGCCTTCACGAGATTGACAGCGTTCCGCGCACGCCGTCCTGGTCACTCACGGAGCTCCACCAAAAGGGAGCGGTGCCCGATGCAGCCAATGTCGTGCTGACGGCAGCAAAGGTGCGATCTGCAGTACGTTTTGGCTCGTTGCGGCTGCGAACTAAGTTGTGTGTGTGTGTATGTTGATAACTACTGTTTTGTTCGATAGCTGCGAGAGCTAGCGGAGTTGTGCCATCTACACCTGGACGACGAGAAGCTCCCGGGACTGCTCAAGGACGTAGAGGCCATCATTCAGTGCACAAAGACCATTCAGGCCATGACGATCAGTGAGAACATCAATGACGTGTACACCACAAGCGACTTTGACGCTGGTAGGTACCGCCGACTCTGTGTGATACGTGGCACGTTGGTACACCTGACGTACTTGCCGATGTTTTGCGCTGAACTGCGTTTCGTGCACTGCTGCTCAGATACTGTGGCTCCTCTTCGAGACGACGTCGTCACAGCAGGAGATTGTGCCGATAAGATCTTGGCAAACGCTGCAGAAACGTCCGGCTACTACTTCAAGGTGCCCAAGGTGCTGCGAGACTAAATCATATACGACAGCAACAAGATGGAGAGAGAGGAAAAAGTGGCTTTGTTTGGGGCAGAATGAACTGTCAAGGTGCACCAACTGAAAGCATTAGGCCTCACTTTCCCGCATGTTTTGTCCAGCACATGTACACCAGAGACGAAATCATCCGTCCGCCTTGAAGACGTTGGCCTTGGCCAAGCACTCTTCCAAATCTGCGCACATTGCAACCCGAACCATTGCATACCGTCAGAACGAGCCCCTCAATCGACCCAACGCACGTCATCAAAGCGCTACCACCTACCTTCCACCTTCATGTCGAGTCCGTTGAGCTTGCGGATCCCCAGGACCTGATTCTGCAGCGCGCCTTTATGGTACATGAACAGAGTGGGGCAATTCCGCGATGGCCAGTTCTCAATGCAAGCTTGCGCCTGAATGCTCACGAACTTGACCGCACAGTGCCGCTTGGCCACTTCCCGTAGCACGTGGTCCATGACCTTGCACTCTTCAAGCGCATCGTCCCAGAGGTAGGCAATAACCCAATGGTCACTGCTTCCGTCCGTCACTTCCTTGGTCCACTCGTCCTTGGCAATCGGCTGAACATCACCAAACTTGTTACGTGCCGCTTGTTCCTTCATCTCTTGGATGCGACGCTCGCGAATACGCGCCAGCACTGCGTCGTCATCGTAATCATCCTCCAGTTCGTCCAACTCGTCCAGCGTCGCATGCTCTCGAGTGTCTTCCTGCTCGTCGTCGTCGTCGTCCTGTTGCTCCTCGTCAGGTACCTTTGTCTTGGGTGCAAGGATACCCTTCTTCACTAGGATATCTTCCCACTCGGTCGTCTCGCCCGTAGGCGCGTAAGATACGTTGCCGCGGTCGCCCATAATGTCGACGGATTGTCGACGGAGACTGGCTCACTGCCGAGAAAAGTGGCACGTAATAAGGACCCACCGAGTCACGCTGAATTAGGGGCTCGAAGAGGCTCGTTTTTCGACCCTGATTTGGACCACGCGATGACACGTTTTTCCGAGTCCGCCACCAATCGCGAGCATGTCGTCTTTCATTGGTCAGTCAGTTCGATCGTAACGTACGAGAGAGAACATGGAGACAATGCAGGAGATGGCGGTGAACGTGAATGGCAAAGGAGCCATGCAGCTAGTGACGACCCTCCAGCCCATGAAAGACGGACAAGTCCCTGCAGGTCGAGACGTGGTCTTTACTAGCGGAGAGGATGGCGTCTTGTTCGTGACGGACCTGACGACCGAGAGCTCCGTGTATCAGGTTGAAGTGTGCGATGGGTTCATCCCGTCTTTCGTTGTGACGCCGGAGCAGAGCCACGTGCTCATTGCATCGGATGATGACTGCAACGTCGCATCCTATAGTCTCCCACCGGATTGCCAGCTGGACGCACTGCTGCGTCGCTCGACGGTCTCGATTCGCCAAGTCACGTGCTCGTCCACGTTGGTCGCCATTGTCGACGACGAGCCCGTCGTGCGCGTGCTACTACGCAGTAACACAGAGCAAGTGATCCTGGCCGAGGGTTGTACCGGTGCCATCAAGAGCGTGGCACTTGATCCACAGGAGAAGTACCTCTGTGCCAGCAGCGAGGACGCCACAGTGCGAGTTTTTGCAATAAATGTACCAAATCAGCAAGCAATAGTGGCCAAGATTTTCAAGATCAAGCATGGCAACATACGGAATGATGACTTGCTGCTACGGTGTGCCTGGCAGCCGGGAGAGGCGGGCAAGTTGCTGGCCGTGCCAATGGATAAGGGCATTGTTGAGCTTTTTGAAAAAGACACGTGGGTGTCTAAGATCAGACTGATGCTGCCGATCGGCAAGAGCATCGCTGCTGATGTGGATATCCTGGCTTTCTCGCCAAACGGTCGGTATCTGGCTGCGGCTACGTGTGCAAAGGAGGTGTTTGTTTGGGAGCTGGAAACGCAGACAGTTTTACGCTCGTTTAAGATCGACTACCAAGCTTTGGGTGTCCAATTCGCAAATAAGAGCAATGCTTTAGTAGTGTATCACATTGGCGGCAAGCTGGCTTTCGTCAAAGATGTGATCTCGTCGGGACACACTCCACCTCAGCATATGGCCGAACAATCCTTCGCTGCAAGTGCGAGCCCATTAGAAAAGGGTTCGAAGCAAAAAGAGAAGAAGTGCGAAGCATCAGCATTTGTGAGTGGCGAAGCTGAGGTGGATGGAAAGCTTGATGTTGACGACGAAGAGGACATGGGCTTCGACGATGACAACGAAGCACGAGTAGAAGCCATTAAGGCTAGCTTTGGTTTCGGCTCAGCCGCAAAGACCATGATCGGCGACCACGTCAAACACGATGACGACTTGCTGTCGACTGACCCCAGTACAAAGTCGTTTGACCAGGGACTTTCTCCTTTGCGAACAGTCACAGAACCTTTCCAGCCCGGTAGCGTCAAGAATGCCAGCGAGCGTGGCAGCACTGCTACCACGTTACTGGCGTGGACTCCAGAAGGTGAGATTGAGGTGATCGGAGGAGCCAGTATGAGTGAGCACCTGGTCAAGGTGGAGTTTGCCGACAAGTCTCGTCGAGGATTCAAATTTAACGACAACTACATGTTTTCGTTAGCATTCCTGGGTGATTATGGCGCTATTTTTGCCGCCCCGCGACGTGCTCGCGAAGACTGGGAAGACGTCGATGCAGATACCGACGAAAGCAACATTGTCAGCAGCTTAGTTTTCTACCGCCCGTTCGAGTCTTGGGCAAGCAACAGCTCGTGGCACAAGACATTGCCGGAGGGCGAAGATGCTGAGTGCGTTGCTGCAGGTCGTGAATATTGTGCAGTGGCTACCTCGCTGCATACCTTACGAATCTATACATCAAGTGGCCTCGACTATGCGCTGCTGCGACTACCTGGTCGTATCGTGACAATGACCGCAAAAGAGTCACTCTTGGCCGTGGTGTACCAGGGGTTGTATGGACAAATGCTCTATCAGCTCTTTTGTATAGCGGTGGACTCGTCACGCAATCGCGTTACGCTACTCTCGAAGGGTGAGTTACCTATGACACCGCCACCTCGGGATGTATTTGCGTCACGCAGAGAGAACGACATGATAAGCGAAAACGTGTCGAACTGGGCGAAGCTTACATGGCTTGGGTTCGACGATCGCCAGATTCTCTACGCAGTGGACTCGTTCTCATGCATTCAGGCGTTGTCACCCAGCTTAGGATGGAATTGGTTTCCTATCGGCTGCGTGAGCAACGCACTGCAAAAGAAGCCCAAAGATCGTCACGGCATCTTTGCGCTTGGTGTGGTCAATGACTCGTTGCTTTACTTTCCGCTGGAAAAGGGTGCCCGAGCTCCTAAGCTCCGCGGCAGTCATCGTCCGGTGCCCGGTATGTTTCCACTACGCGCGGCGTCTTTTCCGACAACGTCAAAGCAGAACGATGACGGCGCGAACGGCCAAATGTGGCAGAACGTGAGGCTATGCGGACTGGAGTCGATCGGGAGCGAAGTGAACGCGGATAAGCATGTCGCGGACCAGGTGATTCGCGAACAGGCGGAAATGGACAAGGCGCTCATCTTGATGATGAAGACGGCTTGCACAAATGACGAGCCTGCACGCGTGCTCGACTTGGCGAAGTGTCTGCATCTGGAAAAATCTCACCAGATTGCACAGAAGCTCGCTGTTCACTTCTCTTTGCGCCAGCTGCAAACGCAACTCTACGAGCTATACCGCTTAAAATTTGAGGAACCTCAGCGTTTTGACCAGACGTCAAGGACACAAGCTTCTTTTCAGCCTCCTAGACAACCCGTGCCGTACCAAGTAAGCCAAGATGAAGAGATACCCGAGCCACGAGACGTGGATCCTCTCTGCCGTGCGCGCAGTTTACTGTCTCGACCGCTGTCCAAGCCTTCTCGTGATGAGCAGTGCGATACAGAAGGTACCTCTGTTGAGAAGGCCCACGAGCCGAAGTCTTCAGCGTTACCGAGAGCTGCGTCAACGAAGGAAAGTGCACGCGTGGAACGATCGGTGGCCCCAGCAAATCCGTTCTTGAGAAAAACGGGTGGTTCTTCAGCACCATCGCCTTCTGGAAGTATGGGAGACAAAAAGACTGGGTTGCAGCGGATGGCCAAGTTTGCGTCGCCTTCACCTACGAAGAGACAGTGCCGGTCGACGTCGAATAAGTAATAGGACATCAGCGAAGAGTGACGAGTTCATTGACTATTACGTCCCGACTCAGTTGTTCCTTAGAGACGGCGGGGTGAATGGAGACGTAGACAGCGCTGCAATGGCCTGTCAAAGCTTTGCCGTTACAAAAGACACTGCGACCCACAAAATGTCGCGCGGAAGGTAGAATGTCAAGACAAGAGGCTGCCGATGGCACTAAGGAGACAGCAGAGTCGAAGCGATCGCGACCAAACCACAACAAAGAGGTGGGTCCATTGGGGAATTTGCGACCTTTTGTTTTTTCTGCTTATGTATATTCCCTTATCCAACAATAAAGTTGCGCTGTCAAGGCATCGGCCCTTGTTGTCTTGCTCTGGACGTGTCTGAAAAGCGGAGATGCTCATGCCATGATGCGGGCCAATGACATTTGGCTCGTGTTGTTTCTAGCGCCTACGACGCCTAACGCAACATTTTGACGCTGTTTGCAACAGTCTGAAACGACTGCAAACGTTGTCGTACTATCGCGTTGATAGCTGGGTGATCATGAGGACGCATGTACGAGCTTATTTTTCTGTTGGATGAACAGCATTAGGTTCACGTCCAAGACGTTGCAACTTCGTATCGACGAACTTTGTGGCAACCGAAGCATCAGCTGAAAAGGTTTATGATGAAGTTCAGCATGGTGAATGGCATCCATGTTTGTCGATTTAGACAGTGTATAGCTAATCTACGCTTCAGCAGTAGCTGAAATTACCGGCTATAGCACCGGCGACTAAGCTGACGATGAAGATTAGTTGTACAACTAATCAACGATCTTGGAAGAACGATGGTAAAAGCACGAGAAGCTTTCTGCATCACTTACGGCTACAGGAAGACGATTGACGTTAGCGGATTATTCAGCGACATACATGAAGCGACGACCCGTGATTTACTGCGACCGCTTTGCGAACTGCTCGAGGGAAACAAGTCCTACCGAACGTTAGTTGCTCTTAACAATGATAAGTACGATCCTACGGATAAAAAGAGTTAGTCGTACCAATTGGGCTCGTACACTACTCTGCTAGCTATTTGACGTCCATCATTAGATCGATCGGATGGGTGGATATTTGAACAGCACGTCAATTTTGCGAATTCCACAAACTCTTATGCAAGGCTAACGGTGATGGTAGTACACTCAAGTGCTACAGCCTCGACGAACGGCTGTGTAAAGCACGCATATCCTGTCGTTAACCAGGCTACACAAACCAGAGCACACTAAGTATGCAAATTGAAGAGCTGACACGCGTCAGCCACCCACTAAGACAAATCTAAGTTTAAGTTTTACCACGATAGGTAGTAAGCCTTACAAATCAAAGACTTGGGAAAGCGTTAATAAACATCCCGTCTCGTTTCGAGCAGAAGCGTTAAAGCCATGTAAAGGCGTCTTACCCTTGAGCACCTGTGCGGTATGCTAATGACATCAAAAGTCAAAAATCTGGAGTCGACCGCCTCGCAGAACAAGCGAACGATTTTATCGCCGTTCGATTGCTCGGTGAGATGCTTTACTTTTTCAGTCATAGACGTTTAGTTGCGCTAAATTCGTTGATTCAACAAGTCGTTTTTTCAGTTCAACCGACAGAGGAGGCTCGTTTGGTCGAAACTCTTTCTCAAACAGTAATGCCATTTTGTAAAATGGACGCTTCTAGCTGCGTCGCCTTACGCAAACACTCACTTCAGGTATAACAGAGAAAGTAGTTAACGTCTCCTCTCGCGCGCAACGAGATCTTGTGAGCCCAGACAGCGGCCGTAGGACACGCTTCTAAAACTTCGCACAACCAATATGGGCTGTGTCGCGCGGAACCGGCTTTGCATGTACCTGCAAGCACTGCCAGGTGGGTTGTGTATGTAAGAGTGAAACGTATTAAAAAGAATAAATGAAATATAACCAATCGTTTGCTAAATTGCGACTGCGTGGACGTGACTAATAATCAGATGTATCCCCTGAGCGTGTGCTTAAAGGGCTCATATGGTTGTGATTGCTGAGTTAAAACAAAAAACTGATTAAAGTAAGATAATTTTATTTGTTGAAAGTCTCGATGGTGATCCCTTACTCCTCGTTGCCGTCATGCAATAAAACTCGACTTCAGATGGGGCAGGTCCAAGACCAATAATATTTTGCTATGCCTAAACAACATGTGCATGTGGCAGAGGATGAGCTCAATAATCGTCCATTTGCTTATATAGCTGATCCCACTACCGAAACGGAAGAAAAATCGCATTGGAACCGCGAGATTGCAATATTCACAAACCTAGCATGCTGCGCTAGGACATCATGTAGGGTAAATGATTTCTCTGACTACAGCACCCTTTGTTTAACCCGACAGTATAAATACTTGCGATTTTGCGTCAGCAAATTGTGGTCCGTCGAGTTTAAATGGGAATCTAGTTCCAAGGTAGAAATACCAGATCATGCGTACAACCCACTAAGGAAAGCAATATAATTCTTGATACGTCAGGAGATATATGTTTATCGGATAAACCTTATCAGAAGCGGATGCCTTTTTGGTAATCCCTCGCCTGACTAATACTGCCTGTTGTCGAACTTCGAGAGGCAGGTCTGCCACATTGACAGGAATAATTACGTAGAATTATCACGAAAGTCTTCCAACGTGTCGTCAGTCGCTATATCCGTAACTTATGCAATTATTATAAGTAAAAATGATAACACTTCTTTTTTAAGCCTTACCAAAATCTCAGTTATTGTTTCATTTGGGATTTTTTACATCGAGTACATTTGCACCCGTCCTAGCGTTAACCTTCCTGTTTATGTTTTTGTAATTATAAACAATTTTTATTTCTATCACATGCAAAAGGCAAGAGCAACAAATGGTACAGTAAGTTATATAATATAGTCTTTATCTGCATCTAGATGTTTGTCTCCATCAGATGTGTCAATAATCATGCGCATATTGTTCAGTCAATCATCCTTTTGCGGTCGTTAACTTTCTATGATCTACGACGTTTATGTATAAATCAATTTAGATTATCTGCTAGTTCCATCACTATTGGTAAACTTGATCATCAGTGTGGAGAGAGATCTGCGCTGTAAATTGAAAGTTAGCATCACACATCAAATCGTTTTTTGCGCGTAATATCAAGTCGTCGTGCGAGCTGCAGGTATCTCAACTTGTATAAAGCTGTTTTCTGCTGTTGCGACCCACGAACATTGATTCATCATTACATGACACCTTGTAGTTTAACTTATCCCGGGACATGGTTGTTACCGTTGAAGTATATATAATCGAAAAATATACAAGTCGTGCCTGCTCTATGAGGTAGATGGGTCTTTTAATATATTCATAAACCATTTATAGTTATCTATAACACGGTAGTAGTATCCTGAATTGCCTTGGCGACTGGAGGAATTCTGAATGCAGCATCATGGTCTTTAGCACCCCGACAACGCGCCGTACAATCGCTTGGAGGAGTATAAGAATAATACGGAGATACGCTAAGAAAAAATGTGCTATCTATATGGTGCCAATCAAGCACTTCATACAAAATTAGCTCGAACCATTGTCAGACACCAGCTTCTTCTTTTTCTGTATATACTATGCAGATATCACGACATACGGGTTGCATGGTTTAAGTTATTGTGGTATGTTCGATGCCCAGGGAACCATAGTATGAGCTATAATAGTTTCATTTACAATGATTAAAACGGAAAATATATAGTACTTTGTCAAATTGTTGCGGACGCACCAATATCAAAATATCATTCGTTCCGCTCATTATGTTTTAATGACAAGCACTATTTGAGGCGCCACATACTTAAAATGGGCGGCTTAAACTTACTTAATAAATAGTCGATCAATAGTTGGTTCATTGTAGTTTGACGTTCAACTCTCGAAACAACTTATCAATTTTTATGTACCGCCGATGCCATCCTTGACAATCAATATCATCGCGGACCTCTCATCCTCTTAAGATTTATAAATTTAGAATGCGCACAAATATTCTATATTACACCGTTGACGCGGTCAATTCTAGAGGACGATTGCATATAATCCAAGTGCCCCTCTCACCGCATCATTTTCAACACTTGTAAGTTTCAGTGTATTGCAAAGAGGGAAGACCACGAAACTACGTATTATGCCGCATCGACATGCGAGATTAAGCTCGACATAGCCTTTAGACTTAATTTCACCCTTAATGTATAAAATTATAATACAATTTCGATTTTACCCGCTTTACTTGACATCATAGGGAAGTGCAGAGACAGTACATTATTTCTTTGTGAATTTATCACGATTAATAAACAGGTCTCCCACGCTGAACGTGCGTGCCTAATGCAAGCTCCTAGTTCACATGTATTTCTGTCCATTTCCATCTCATACCTGTACTTGCACTAGACGATCTGATTATTAACCCAATCATATCTCCCCTTACACCACCTTTATTTCAATCTTATCGTTCAATTGCAGGGACAAAGTAGATATCACTATATAAGATGCTAGGCGAGCACTTTGTTAAATATATATCAGTTAATTAATCTACCTCATCTTGAAGATTCAAACTGTACAAGTGCATATTTTCTGTTTTCGCGAGTATAATCTCATAGAATACTCCCATCGCATATAACCATCGTCGTTGCAGCAAAACTTAATAATGGTTGTTTTTATTGTAGCTCGTAAAACAATTTTATAGTAGTTGTTAACCTTGCAACGGACTCGCTCTTTGCAGTGCCGAAATTGGTGTGACTCTACATTTCGTGCTGGCAGTCTAAAGCCGACCAAAAGGTTGTATCGACGTGCCTAGTGCGTTTAAGGCGCTTCGGACTGAATTTTATCATATCATCGCATCATCAGAGTAGTTATAGTTTCATTAGCAAGCATAACAACGCCTTCATGTGGATGTATGTACAAGCGTATGTTTCTATATGTTTGCGCCAGGTTTGCAAATTGAATCCAGAGCTTGTAATTGTCGACATTTGTAGTGAGTGACTATGACCTATACACGCAATTCCATAAGTAAAATAGGGA